CACAGCGGTTGTTATATTCTTCATTTCTGATTTGGTCTCGGACATTGACAGGTCCATCTTAACTATAGCCAACAGTTCTCCCAAGTACAACTCGTTTTTGTTTTTCTTTTGAAGAAAGTAACGCTCATGCTCGCACAGGTACTGGCCTAGCCTTCCTATTATACCTTCCTCCTACTCTACTTCGTTTGCTAAAACTGCATCTCTTCGGTAGGTAGACAGGTTTCCGTGTATTTTATCCTTTCATTTGTTCCTTCTCTACCTCTTTGATTCGTACGACATTTTGGATTAATGTATGAATTTACTCAGCACTCAGCAAAGTCATAATGCATGATATCAATGATGTTTTCTTCTGTTATACCTGTCTGTATCTTTTGTACTAAAAATTTCTTTCATTAATCCACCTTACGCAGTTGAAGATTGTATGAGCCACTGTACCTACTATTTCGTAGTAGAGACATAGTTATCTTCGACTTTGCAAAATCTATTTGTAATGTCTTAAGTAGCTGCGTTGAAAAACGACGTTGTTTGTGTTCTCCCAAATCCCTTGCCATATTCCGATGTAAGTAAATCTATCATATTTTTGCATGAGAAACTTCCGTCTTCTCGCTTATACAGTCTGGTTAGTTCTTCCATTAGGAGCCCAATCAGTATGATTCCTATTACCTGCAATGATCTAGCCGACGTTGTTCTGTATGCGCTCCTGACTCTCGTTTACATTGTGCATTGGATTTTTGTTACTTCTTGTTTATACTTCTTTCGCATACATTTACAATATTTGTCTTTTTGGCCTTCAATGTTTCGGGTTACTCTGCTGTGACTTTTTCTTCACCTTTGTGTACGGCATTTTTCACAGTTCTTATATACTTTTCATCGGTGATATTTCTGCTTCTCCGCATATAAAGCTCCTTCCTTTCCCTTTTTTCTCCTCTGAAAATATCTGCTTTTATTTTCAGTTTTGATAACTTCTTGATTGTCTGTGTAATCTAATGTGGTAACTCCCTCTGGCATAAGTTCGTTCGGTAGTGCGCCCGACTCACGATCGGAAGACCGTGGGTTCGATTCCTGCCTCGACCAGATATTTTTCTCGAGATAATTCATCTGGTTGAAGCTATGATGATTCTGCAACTGTGTTAGGAATCACACGTTGAAAGGTAAGACCTCGTTAGTCCTTAGCTCGCACAAGTTTCTCAACTTCTGAGAGTTGTCGTTCGTATGGGGTCGACAGCTGATTAACGGAAAAACAGATTTTAAACAGACATAATATTGTATAAAATAGTCCATATAGAGCGGGTACAAGAACCGAGCCCTGTGATGCACCTGCAGTAACTATTAGACATACGTGTTTGTCTATCTGTAGAGTTCTGTCTTCTCAGTGTTTATCAATGATCTCTAGAGTAGGTACTCTTGTGCTTCTCTCATTTCGAGAGTTTTCATTATGTTATCCCTTGAAGCAGTATTGAACATCTAGGGTATGACCCATTTATTAATTTTGAGCTTTCGTGCAATGAACCACTTGAATAGTCGATTTGCTCTTGGAAAATCAGAATTCATCTTCAGATATGCTTCTGTTCTTTACCAATTTTTTTCGGTCTTTCTCTCCAAAAAGTTTGCTCATAGAGAACATTGAGCAATGTCATATTCTCTGGTTTCTCTATGGGTATCGATTTCAGTTTTGCTTTTTTTCACTCTCACAGAAAGTTGTTTTTTCTAAGACGATTCAGAATCGGCATCGAGATGCCACCGAGTACGAGTGCTTTCCATTTTTCTTTTTCACCACTATGCTTCTAAACTCCTGTCACAAAAGTTTTCTGTATCGTTCAGCGACTCGGACCAGCATTCCTCTGTTTTGTTTTGCGTGTGTGAACCCCATTATCACCCATTATGATTTTTTCTTCTGATTTTCCTCTGACGTCGTTTATGGTTTCATTGCAGTAGAGTAGGAATTCCTTGAGTTTCATTTTAACTAACCCTTCTTTCAGCCCGCTGTTACTTCTAACTCTTAGTTTGTGAAGAGAATAGCTACATCATTTTCATTGTTTTTGATACACGGAATGTTGTCAACGATATTCTTGTTTCACGCTCTGGTATCCTATGACAGTACCCGTTGGTTGGGCTACCTATCGGGCGCGTCTCCAGTTGGTGGATAGGGGAACGGCCAGGGGACTGGAGGCCCTGTCCGGGAAGCCAATGTGGCCTTGCGGACGGGATCGCCGGACTCCTGGTCAGTGGCAAAACCAAGTAGGGAGATGGGAACTAAAACTCCCCAAAAGCCTTTGCAAAACATGCCACCGTGGACCAGCCTACCCAAGCTAAGGTGTTAGGAATCGTGCCGACAGCTGAGTGACCGCAGGGTGATATGCGGTTACGAACGGTCCCCTCTGCCAGAGGTGACCAACTCTTCCCTTGCTACTCGTGGGAACACACATGAATGAAACAAGCACAAAAACAAACAACAAAAACCAATCCCGAGGCTGGACAGAAGTGCTCACCTCAATCTAAGGCGGTGGCTGGGAATGAACAGAAATGTCCACTCCAATCTACCGCTTGGAATGAGTCTGGACATAGCAGATCACCTCGTGATGTAATACAAAGTCCAAGGCGTAAGCGCATTTGCGGCGTCGAGGTCAAAAGGAGAAAGAGAGCGAAGGAGGCAGGAGTGGCAGCAACCATAAGTGCACCCTTCTCCTCCCCCACTCCACCTCTAACAGCAAGGACACTTCCTGCGGCGGGCGTCAAGACCTCCGCCTTGAATAAAGGCAAGGAACCGGCTGCCCTTGCAGGAAAGCTCCCTCATTTGTACACTTCCACGGAGGGAACTCCAAGAAGGTAGAAGAAGCCGCGCAACGACAGTTATATCGCTGCACCTTCCAAAACCTTCGCAGAGGCCACCTTGAGACACTTCAAGGTTGCCAAAGAGAGTGTGTGTTCGGCGAGTCTTGACCTACATGCCAATAGAAAGAAGATGCCTCTTAGTAACCTGTCTACCTTCCTGGAAAGGACAGGATGGACGATGACCTAGGAGGACAACTCCTCGGGAGGACGTACAATGGGTTAGATGTGGCCTAAGTGCTGTGGGTCTACACTCACCCTCCCTACTCTACAGATACAGATCCTATGACAGTAGATAATATCCTATTTCGTTTTTATCAGTCTCCTATATATGGGACACTGTGTTTTGTCCATTCTATGGCCGTCTATAGTACTGGCCGGGCAGCTAAGTGAGTTATATAACTTTTTCGCCTTATTTCCTGGTTTTGCACATTTGATGCATAACTCTGACTATTCGTTTCGGTACAATCTTCATTTCTTTGCCTATTGAAGTAACATCTGAAACATCTTTGCAGATTGATCCTCCTTCTGACTCTGTCCCCTACAACTGATAATATAATTTGTACATAATAAATAGTAATAAATGGATTCAGCAAACCGACATCTACGACTCCGATTGTGTTGAAGTCGCTAGCTTTGTGGGAGCGTGGGTTACGAGGAAAGAGGAGGGATGTAATAGACTGTGACTTCCCTCCCCACCGACAGATGCGTACACAATTTAAATAACTGGGTGATGATAAAAACAAAAAAATGTGAAATTTCATATATTTATGGAAACTTCCGCGATATATGTGATATTTTCATTGAATATATGAGTAATAAGTATATGATAAGTATAAGTAATAAGTTGATTTGAAATCCATATATTGATTAGAAAAAAAAATCATCGTATCAGAAGAAAATACAAAGAGTGAAAACAACACGTTTCTAAAAGGAAACTGCTGACCTTGATTCTAATCTCAGAAAGAAAGAACATTTTTATTTATTAGGTATTACAAAACATAAAAACTAATTTCATTGCTTTTCATGCTGATTTTACACTGAAAATGTATGACCTCTTTGACCGTAAGAGTTCATCATAATTTGAACATAAGCACACAGATAACCTCATGAAAATGAAAGAAGCGAGTCTAAATCACTTTACGTCCTGTATATTGGATCTGATCTTACCTCTTCAGAGGGGAAGGGCTATCAAAAGACTCGATAACTTCAAAACAATCGTTTTCCGACGCAGTATCTGTAGTTGACTCTTCTGTGGTATTATCCAATCTAAAAAAACTTCATTTCTGCAGATCATAAATGAACTGAATGATTAGTTTACCTTGAAGTTGGAGGAACATACTCGTCAACATAAAAACGGGGACGAGCACCTTTTTTTAAAAATATTTTTCCACTGGGTTTAACTTCAAAATCTTTCTCTTCGAAATGAACAGAACAAATTCTAGCATACTTTGAAACATTCTCAGGGCATTGTTTCAGTCCTAGTTTTTCGAACCAAACAGCTCTTTCATCGACATCAGCTGGAAACCTGAAAATTGTTTTACTCTTTATAAAATATGTTCTCACGAAGAATACGAATCTTGAATGCAGTGACTCGTTACTTAGTCTAGTTCACATGTACCATTTTCTTCTAAAATTTTTATATAGTCTCCGAAAATTACGATCAAGGTGTCATTCGGTTCGTATTGTCACGTAGAAACTTTAAGGTAAAGTTCGAAAAGGATTNTGTTTTGTGAAAACTATTAATTTATCACTATTGATTAATGTCGATAATTTGTATGTATTGCATTGCAAAGTAGGTTAGGTAGAGTACCAGTCAGACTGAGGAAACTAGATACTGTTGTAGTGAAACTTGTATTAGAAATAAGGCCAATATTGTGAAAATCTGTAATTATTATCGGTAGCCGGTCGGTTCGATGTGGGTGCTTTGTTCACTCACTCGAATTGACTGCCGTGTTGGTCGGTGGTTCGAGCCCCAGGCTGAACGATCGATTTTTACTTGCTATCATCCAAGCCGTGTTAGGAATCGCACGTCAAAAGGTAAGACGTCGTTAATCCTTAGCTCGCACAAGTATTGACTTCTGAGGGTTGTCGTTCGTAGGGGTGCGACAGCTGGTTAACGGAAAACAGATTTTAAACAGATATGAATACGAATCGTCAAAAAGCTGCGTCTCAAGTATTTGTTCTTCACTTTTACAATTGAGACCGTTTTATTCAGTTCATTTCATATCTTTTTAATTAACCAGTCAAAATTTCTCGCAAAACAAATGCCTGAACTATTGTCATATAAAAAAAAACTTGCATTTCATAACAAAGCGATCTGATACCCACTGTGACGCCAATGAGCAAATTTTGTTGTGTTGTGGTACTCACCTATGAAAGCTCAAATTTTGGCTTGAACACTTCGTTTGCTTACAAACCCAACAGTAAACCACCATTATTCGTCTATTACTCTTAAACTGTAATAAATATCACACGCGAACAACAAAGTCAACATGGAACTGGTGAAATTTGTAAACAGTAAAGAACGATCACGAACAAAAGAGCAACCCAACACAGCAGGCTGGTAGACACATCAAATGAATTCTTTCAACAGCGTTGCCACGAGTGGAGTTGCAACTAATCGTGTAGTAATATTTGCAAACAAACAAAGATGATTAAAACACATACACTAGTTTAGATTCTGGAATGTTTGATGTCGATTTTCATTTCATGACAAAGATCGTAATTTTAAGTTACTGATGTTGAATAAAATACTGTTAAGAATCCAAAATCAACACTGCTAGATACTTCCCATCGGCGGTAATTGCTGATAGACGCTTTGAAGTTTGAAAAAATAACGTGAATTTACTTATAGTCTAGGACTTAATTTTCATATGATACTTGGCGAATTATTCCAGCACTTTTTGTAAACGGGATACCAATCTTTTTTTTTCCGAGCTTAAAAGCTACTTAGAGTGACAGTAACCGACAAATCTTCATTGAGATAACATTTATTTACGGGATAATTCTTTAATTAATTCGAAATTACATTATGAAGAAAGGAAACTTGCTCCAAAAACCGTTTTAATTTACATCTCATACAAATTTTCATGTGGCGTTCCTTTCAACACAGAAAAATCTAGGTAATTGATTAAAATGAATCATTTTAATTGAATGAAAGATTCAATTCTTTTCCGAACATAAGGGGAGAAATTCCTCGGTTCAAAAAATGGTTTAGTAGTTTTGTTGATGCCTTTTAACATGATTCATTTCATGGCTGTTTCATTTTTTTCCAAAAATAGCAAATAAGCATAATATAGTTATTTCAAATTGAATTCGAATGATAAAGGTAGGAGATAATAATAATTCATATGTTAGCATGAGTTTAAAAGTGACCTACATCATGGACGTAGAAAACGTCCATGGTCTACATACCTTGCTTCATTCAATTTCTTCATCAATTTGGTCTTCTTATGAATCTTGAATGCAAACTTTGTAGATTTAACCATTTTCACTATTCAACATTCCACATAACACTGTCTCTAACGACTAATCCCTCATGACAAATAGTTCCCCAATAAAGACGGATTTCCACCAAACGGACTCGCTTGCGACTAGTTTCGGTTTTAAAAAATTACATTACATTCACCTTTCAGGCATCTTAGCCTACACCATTGAACAATTGAAATTCGTTAAAAATAAGCATTTTTTCAAATCATATACTTAAAAAAATATCTTCCATAAAAAACATACACCACAAATTAAACAGTTCAAAAATGAACACATATACAAAAGAAAAACAAAATAATAGTATTTCTACCAATTTTATACACTCCTAGAGACCCATCGCGGCGGCAAACCCTGTATGAAGAAATGTAATACTCCGAACGTCAGTTCAAAAATATTAATATTTTACCTCCATGTATAGTACAAATGCGTCACTTATCGTTTAGGGGGTTGATTTGGGCATTTGCAATAACAGGAAGTCGATTTTCATCGGTTTCACTTCGTAACTTCATTTCGTGGAATCTTTTAGCTGCAGAGGGCATCATATCCTCGTTAAAATATTTCAAAAACATATCTTGTGTATCAGGCGTCATTCGTAAATAACTGTTAGCCTCAGCTACGTTAATTTCATGTGATTTCATGATCATTTATCTGTAAAAATAATGTTACTAGAACCACATTACCACGGTGACAAGATACTCAAAATTATCAAGTTTAATTTAAAAAAATATACTTTTCCAAGATATTTCCAAATTTAAGAGATACATTTTTTTTCCACCTCCCTATACTACTTCAACAACACTTTTCTGAAGGGCTCTGGAGTAGGCGACATCTAGGAGTAATAACTCTAGAACTTCAAATTTAAAAAAACATTGATTATTGCCATAATCATAGTCTCAAACCTTCAGTTATTCATTGTTATGTAAGTCTATTGTAATATTCGTTTACAGAAATGTGAACAAATCAGTTTTTCTTATTGATTAGTTTATCCAAACGGACGACAATTATTCATAGTTTTCCGTAAGTTAAATTAATAAAGAAATGAAAAATTATACCCCAGAATCGGTATATGAATCAGCAAATGTACGTATTTGTAGTGAATCGGATGAAAAAGATGTTTTACCTGTAATTAAATAATATACTGTATATATTGGCCCTCTATGATAAAAAGTTTCCTCCTTCCTTCTTCCATTCTTTGAAAAGTTATTGTACATTTCTATTAATTAGCTGTTTTCAATACACCATTTCAATACACCAACTTTTCAGGTTATGATTTCCGTTTCTATTCGCCATTTACAATTACTCAAGACCAGTAAAGTCTGTTGTAACAGAAATCATTCAAAAACATGGCTTTCTGACCATTTTTGTCACCTTTTTTGTAATTTCTACTACATGAAACACAAGAATAGCGGCTCGGAACTGCAAAAATCTTATTGATGTGTTTTACCCAAAAGTTAACATCATCCAGGGTGTACTTGGGACACCGATGAACTAAAATATGACATCAAAACTGGTTTGGGAATGCCGATTGAATTTATTCTAGGTGCTACGACATTCAGACAACGAAGACTCAACACTCAACTCCATGTGTAAACCCTAAACCAGTTGTGAGGGTACCAAAATATATGGTACCCTCATAAGATGAAGATCAATGCTCCATCAGAAGCTTAGGAATTCCTAAAACGGCTCTTGAACGTCGGCATTGAAGGGATTGAAAAAGTTGCAACTACCACCTCAGCCGAGAGAGGTGAATCTGTCACAGTGCTATAGCGTGCGTGAATTGCGAAAGTATGTTTTTGCCACCATTCTGCATCTCCGGAGGAAAAAAAGAAGGTCCAGTGGAGGAACAATATTTTTAAAATTTGTCTCAAAGACCACTTCCTACTGAAGAAACCATGAGAAAAGTTCTCATTTCCATTAGCTGGTCACACCAGTCATTTAGGTCAACTGACATGCTAGAGTGTGCTGATTGATGTGCATCTTCCTCATACATTTCTTACAACCATTAGACAGGACTTTTCAATTCTCCCAAGTTGAATTGGAACAGTGCTTCCAAACACTTATGAGAAACAAATGTGGATGGTCAACTAACAGGCTTACCTATATTTGGTAGCCTTCTCTCTTCGGAGTAGACTACAGCTATGGGTATTACAATAGGGATCAACTGCTTGAAAGCTACCGGCGTAATTCCTTGGGACTGTTCGTCATTCCTAAAGACGGATATGAGTAAAAAATTAATTTCCCCTGTTCAGCAGGCACCTTCTGATCATTCCATCAATGCTACAGAAACTGCAATAGCTGATATTTCTGTAAACGACGACTCAGAAGCTGGACCGTTTCAAATAACTCCAGGTATGCTGTTCATGGTTATCTATTACCAGTTCCTGAAGCCAAACAGGCATATAAAGGAAGACATGAATCTAAAAGTTTTAATCCAGTTGGATGAAATACGGAATATAATTCTTCAAGCAGAAAATAAAGCTAAAATAAAAGCAAAGGGGAACACCGGGAAAAATGATTGAAATCTACCTCGAAATTTTCATTTCGAACGAAGAAAATTACTTCAGTTTTATTGAAAATATACTCTCTCTATTGAATAATTCACATCCCCGAGCGTAATTTCAGTAGGCAATGTACTTTTCATTGAGAATTAAATATTCATCTAATATATGTGTGAAATCATAACGTATTATTTCATGTGAAGAGAATTACTAAC